CGTGTCATCATTCCGGTTGGTTGCGGCGACTTCTCGCTTACACCATCGCGCGTCGTCGAGATATTTGCTTCATCTGTGACGCTTTTTCCCGCTACAAGAGTGGATGATGTGTGTGCGTCAGCACGCGTGCTCGTATTTGATGTGTTATTCTGCGCATCCTCCGCCCTACTGGAGGCAGCTACGACAGTGATCGTCGAAATGTTTGCGCGTGAAGCAGATTTGGTGCGCGCGTTGGCGTCGGTTCGTGTAGCATATATGGCGTCTGTGACAGCGCCTGAGCGCGTGCGGGACACAGACGCTGAGCGTGTAATTGGTACTGTACGCATGGCAGATACAGTGCGCGTACGCTGGCCTCCATCCGTGCGTGTATTCGAAGGAGCGCCTTTAATAGAGCTTGTACTTGTAACAGAGCGTGTATGTGCAGCAGAGGTTGTACGCCTGATAGAGCGCGTACGTGTTGCAGAACGGGAGCGGGTGGCCGAGAGAGCACGTTTAGAAGAAGACGCGCGTGTAGTCGGTCTTATATTTCGCGGTTCATTTAACATGGGTTCAGCTGTCGTCTCAGAGCGGGTACGCGGGCGACCACGTCCACGCTTTTTAGGAACTTCCTCCTTATTTTTTTCATTTGCTGCATCATCATCTTTTTGCTCGACAGCTGATGCAGAGATACTACTCGGAGTTCGGCTTGGTATCTCTTGCCGCTTGGCTGGTGTTTCAGCACGCAGACGCTTGAGAATCGGCGATTCTAGTTGTGGTGAAACAACCATCTCTCCAAGCAATAACCTTCCAGTTGGTTCTGGCGTAGAATGATGCGCACGTTTTAAACTGGAGCGAGCTGGCGCTGGTGTCTTAGCGGTAGTGGGAACCTGAAGATGGATGTTATCTACCACTGCGCTGTCAATGGATGTATCGGGGTGCTAAAATTGTTTCGACTTATTAATCTTTTAGTTGTGCAGTATGTTTAGTCAAAATATAAATAAAATAAAACGTTGCCAACGGTATGCGATTGTGGGACGAGGGGTATAGTTAAAATGTATTTTATTTCATTAGGCAAGTTCAAAAACCTACTATTTATTTCAACTTTGTTTAAATTTGTTTTAGACTAGCTGAGATGAATTTCGAAAGGAACAGGGAAAAATTTTAACCAGCGAATGAATGATAAGGGATGGATATTAAGCTATTGGCGTGGTACCAAAAGAAAAATTTTAACAACAGACATAATGGACAGGAAATAGAAATATTCGAAAACAATATTGGTTTGGCAACTGAACCTAAGCATTCAAATAAAGTTACAAATTTGCATACGGAATGTTTGCAACGCTGGTCTTTAAAAGCAACAAAAGAATATCGCACACAATTATTATTATAACTAATTCCGGACTAAGAAACTTATGGCCTTAATCATAAATAAAAAATAAAGAAGGTTTAAAGAGCTTTATATTTATTGACGTTTT